GAATGTGAGGAGACAGGCATGAAATGGTTAGACGCCTTGCCTCTGGCCCTTATGTCAATCAGGAGCTCTATTAACCGAGGGACAGGTTTCTCCCCATTTGAGCTGACCATCAGTTCCCGGGACCAGGAGCCCTGAGCGTAGGAAAGGAAGTAGAGGTCATGAGTTCGAAACCTTATTGCCAGCAACTNCGTTAATCGCATTAAAATAATTAGTGGCGTTAATTTTTCTTTGCGTTAACGCGTTAATAACGCGTTAACGCAAAGAAACTTGACAGCCCTAATATATATATATATATACATACATACGTGTAAGTGGACATGTGGTAAATATTGTAATTTAAACATTGCAAGTTACAAGGCCGGTAGACAAGTAGCCATATCACATCCAACCATTATAGAGGACAAGGTCAATTAGGAGGCACATTTATTTCCAGAAACTCCAAGAATTCCCCCCATATTTGATGGAACACTTCAGGCTTTCCCTTTATGGCAAATGTCAATTTTTCTAAGGCTAAACAATGAGAGAGATTTTTTAACCAGTGATTGATCGAGGGGTTTTCTGGGTTTTTCCAAAAGACAGCTATTATGTGTTTAGCTTGGAGAAGAAGAAAAAGACTACTAGTCTTTTCTTAGTGATATTAAGATAGAGGGAAAACCCCAAGAATACAGAGTTTTGGGCATTCTGGTAATGTGGCGGAAATTATTTTTGATAATGTGCCCAGAACATCTTTCCAAAATGATTTAATATTTGGGCAGTCCCATAAGCAGTGGAACAATGTCCCCTTATCATTATCACACTTTACACATTGATCTGGAATATTTGCATCAAAATGGTGTAGTAGGGATAGTGTTATATAGGTACGCATAATCCATTTGTACTGTAGGAGTCTAAACCTCGTGTTAATAGTTTGAACCTGGGCTTTGTGGCATATCTGCAAGTCTTTTATTCTCTGAGGACTCTCCTGATTCAGTTTTGCAAAGGTCATTGATCAAAGACACTTGTCCATGACCACTATAATTGTTTCCAGCTTTGACAGAGGTGGACATAATAGTGAGTGATTTTGTGATTTTGTGCCTTAGATATATAACTCCTTAGCTGCACATACTTAAAGAAATGTGTTGAGGGAATATGATGTTTATTTTTTAGCTAAGGTCATCAGTTTGTTGTCATCATATAGATCACTGATCTTATTGATGCCTCTGTTGGCCCACATTTTAAACCCTGAGTCATATGTTCCTGGTATAAATCTTCTGTTACCCCATACAGGAGTAAAATAGGATATCTGTGACTTAAACCTAAGTGGCTTTGTACTTTGAACCAGACATCAACTCTGTACCTGACAAAAGGGTTTTTTGTATTCTTTTTAAGCTGTTTTGGAGAGTCAGAGAACAAATACAAATTCAGTGGTAGATGACGTTCAATTTCAACCCATGGTATGGGGGTTCCATCCAAGAACCAACACATTGCTGCTCTCATTTGGGCTGCCCAGTAATACCAGGACAGATTGTACCTGGAGTCCTCCTCTCTCATAAGGTAGATATATAAGGATAGCAGTAACCTTGTCTCTGATTGTTCCAGATAACCTTGTAATAGATTTTCTTCATTTGGGATAAAAATGAGGATTGGGTGCAAATGGGTCAGGGTTGAAATAGTATACAGAGAATGTAGGTAGGACATTCATCTTGATAATAAATTGATGCGCCGATTGGATACGAGGAGTGATGTCACCTGTTAATTAGAATCTGTCACTAGAAGCTATTATAGGGTCATAGTTTAGTTGGGAACAAGGTTCTTCTATTTCAGGTGTAATCCTGATTCCTAATATTTAAAAGCCTCAGGGATTTTGAAATTCTGTTTGAAGAGGTGGATTAAGTCTTTTCAGAATTCTTTAAGTAGAAGAAATGTTAGATTTCGACTATTTCATCTTAACCCATTGAGGAACGTACCAAAATCCTTTATCAGTCTTATTGAGCGCCTGCAATTGACACTGACCCATTTTATAAATACAACGATATCATCAGCGAAAGGGCCAGAGCATTTTTTTTTTTTTTTTTAAGAATATTTTTTATCGCAGAATTGTATGTATCCAACCACATTGGTATAAAAAGCAATGCATATTCCAATTTAACAAACAAACAGCGGATCAGAACATACTAGTACAATTAGGCGTTGGTGGTTTTAAAAAATGATCCATGCGCGGATAAACAAGAAATGTAGTATTCATGCTAGAAACAGAGGGCAGTCAAGAGAGCAACATCAGGACACAAGAAAAATGGCCCATAGAAATTGAAGAAAAAAAACAACAGATAAAAGTTACAGGTTAACTTATATGAATCATTCATCCACATCCTTCATCCTCACCCAGACCATCTTAAGTGTCCATAGCACTGGAGCCCAAGGCTTATAAAACACTCTCCCCCTCCTTGCACTTCTTGAATCAGTTTCTCCAGTAGAGGATTCACACCTCCCTTCAGACCACATCTCCGACGAACACAGCATCAGACTTCATAACCTCAGAATATCCGTTTTTGTCAAACAGTACCACAAAAAACACACGGCCATGTTGTTCACTGCCGTAGTCAGA